AAAAATTGAAAAAAATTCTCTCGTTTCCCGCAAATGGAAGAAATATTCAAAAAAATTATAAATTTAAAAATCGCTAATTTTTGAAATTTTTTCACTTTTTTTTCTTAAAACTTCCATAACTTTTTTAAAAATCAACAAATCTACATAATTTTTTTTTTATACTAAAACCTTAGATATTTACCTTTCATTTGATATCATTTTTTTGAAAATCTATCACTTAACCTGCTCATTAGGGGGGATTTAAAATAGCAACTTTTTTACAAAAATTAACTTTTTCAACTTAATTTTTGAAAATGTTCCGGAAATACTGCGTCCTTCAAACCTATATCAAATTAAAGCTTATTTTATGTACTATAAAATGAAAAAAAAAAATTCGTCCCGACGACCTATCTTCTATGCGCAAATGGCTACCATATTCAAAAATATGCTATTTTAACAAATTTTTTTTTTTAATTAAACACTATCTACAGATTTGCATCGAAGCGTTTTTTATGATAGTGATTTTAATCACTGTCAGATATCATCTATACTGGACCCAACTATGCTACGACCCTACTGTGCCGCCACCTCACTGTGCTGGGTTTTTTATTATTTATATTCATATAAATACATATATCTAAAAAGTTTTCAATTGAAACAATTGAATACTTCTTTGTATACGTGCAGTTATATATCTATGGAAGTCAAATGTTATAATTTGAAAAAACTAATTTGAATTCTGGATTTCTTTTAAGTCTTTGTATAATGACATAATGTTTAGGCACACATTGACATTGACCATTAATGCATTCACATACATATAGAGCTGTAGTTTTAATGAAACAATGTATTTTTCCCAAGTATTGATTGTCATTTAAAGTAAAAAGTGTATAACAAGATTGAGTTTTGAGATTTCTCTCATATGATTCAGCAATATATAATTTACCATCTTTTAATAAACGCAAATATACTTGAGAGTTCAGTAGCGGAATGTTAAACAAAAGAAATAAATTTTGTATTTAATTTGTTGACTCTTTATCATTATAATATGCTCCTACAGTATAACATTCTGAGAATAACTTTTCGCGTATTTTTACTTGTTTTTTGCGTCGAAGACAAAAATCTTTGATTTTACCTTCGGTAAATAATCTAACTTATTTTTCATTGTGATATAATTGCCATGGGACATTATTACTTATGAATCTATATGAGATGTACCATGAATCAGCTGCAGTAATAAACCATTTAATTTTTCATAAGGATAACATGTAAATGACCATAAGGGACCGATGTTCCTTACTCAGTCCGCTAAATGAAGCAATTAATGAATATTAATTGTACAAAATTGTAATCCATACTTTACTTCAAAATCTTCTACAAATTTATGCAACAAAAATTCTGCTCTATCAATTTCATTTTTATTTATTGAGTCTGAACTCAATATAGAAATAGCAGTTACGAGAAACATGTAGTGATTAAAATAAGAAGTTTGCATGACTCCTGATAAAATCGGAATAGAATAATGAAACATCCACATTTGTAACTCAGATGACTTTCAGTGTAATAAATCATCTATACTACGCGGCAATCTATGTATGAATTTTGGTGGTTTAATTGACAATAACATATTATTTATAACATCTTTTACGTTTGATTAAAGAAAAGGGGAAAATTTTTAAATTTAGGTATAAACCATAAAGTTTATAATTTTTTTATTACTCCTCCGTCTATTCCATGCATCTGATCGATTCCGGTCTCATTAATGAAATCAGGCATTATTTTTGATATAACAGATGGGCCTTTTACACCAAAATAGGGATATCTATTTTGTAATGCTATACTTGCATGATTTATTGACTCTTGTGATGTTCTTAATACATTGCAAGTGGGCTTTTTATATTTTGGCCTGTAACAACAACGTGGTTTGTCACTTGCATAACGACTAGCTATAGTAGCAAGGGTCGCTACCACCTAGGCGAGGTGTCACATCTATCAGATATGATTACCGGACCATAGGTGGAATTTAATTTTAAGTTAATTAAAAGTATAATCTAAGTTAATATGTCGTTATATGTATAAATTACTATAATACCTCATGGTTTATTAAACACAATTATGACAATTAAAGTTGTTTGTGGTTGATATGTAAAACATATCGTAGCCCATGTCTAGATTAAGGAATAGGGATAAATACACGCGAGTAATTAAGTTACTCACGCAATAAAATAAATATTACATTTAAAATAATAAGGAAATTTAATTTAATTGTTAAAAAAAAAGAAAATTAACCATGGACAAAAATGCGAATGCATCAAAAACCATGTCTACAAATAAAGGCAATACAAATAAAATAAAATATTTAAACAAAACAAACAAATAATATTACAAACATCATGGACGGTATTGGAACACATCCGTTAATGTTAATCGGAAATTAATGAAGAATACCAGGAGCGGTCTGGACACTCGCTCCTTAGCGTTGGCTAGAAGAAAAGGGAAACACGTGCTCTCCACACATAAACAAAATTAAGTTAATTTACGATAAAATAAAAATGAAATTAATTAATTAATAAAATATAGCTCATTACATAAATATAATATACAAAAGAAAACGATACCCGGTCTCCGAAGAGACCCATCCGATGATCTGGATGCTTCGCCGAAAAGACCTGACCGTTCGCCGTTGGTGGCTCTACTCCATCATTGAAAAAAGAGTGTCAATAAAACAACAAATGTGTGCACCCTAGCACGGTCAATGACAGAAGAAAGAATAGAGAAGAGTCAACACCGATCTAACGGCAATTTCAAATCGATAACGGCCAGTCTTTTTGGAAGGAATCAATACTGATAAACAATTCGATTTTAATTATATTTCTCTTTTATCGCCTTATCTAGCGGTCAGCGGTAAAATAATGAGTGGTTGACACTGCTGTGTCAGAAAAAGGTTCTTTCGCGCAATAAAATAAATAAATAGATATAACAAAAAATCATAAACGGTCCACCTTCGAATTTGTGACGTTACAACATAATTATTTGAATATTCATACACATGAGTATTAACTCCAGAAGGCAAGGCTTCAGTCTTCCCTGGATTCAAACAATATGGGCAGCCATAATTACCATTAAATTGATTAAAGTTGAATTGACATTTTGCAACCAAATCACATGTTCCATATAATACAACTTCTCTAACGCTGATAATGTTTCGATCTGGAAGAGTCACTTCATACCCTGCAGCTAGTGTTCCTAATTGCGGTCGAAATTTACGCAAAAATACATTAGCATCAGGTTTTTTATCTCCAAACCATAACCCTGCTAATAGTATATTTTCTCGCATGACTCGTTCCTTAATGGGTAACTCATTTATTGAAAAACATTAGGGCCACATGGATATTTTGGATGATTTAAAAACTGGAACTTCATCAGTATACCAACTTAAAGATATATTATTTGGATTTGATAAAAATCCGCTTTGAACAAAAGTTTTATAAATTTCTCCATCGTACAAATCATTAATAGAATCAGAAAAAACGTGTCTCTCATGAAATCTATTTTGTAAATTATTGTAAAATCCATTGCGTTTATAGAATGTCTGTAATTGTTCTAAAAAAGGCATTTCGGTAAAATATGATACGTCATCATTAGTTGACAGGATGCACATTTTGATGTTTCAGATTCAAGTTCAAGATTACATTCAGAGCAATAATAATACTTATTATATTTTGTTTCAGATAAATTGAAAAACTTGTTAAATTTAAATAAACTATTTTTTTTTAAATCACTTTTAATACAATGTAAATTAACGCATTATATTATATCTGAAATACATGTTTGACTGAGATTGTGGTTTGTAGCAAGAGCTAAAATCATCAACATACTAGATCTTACAGTAACTGGTGCTCCGCGATACAATGGCTGATTATGACGGAAGTCATCCATATTTTGATGTGGTAGTTGTTGAGGATTATTGTTAAATACAAGCTCTTGATCACTTTGATTATTTTCACTCTGAACTTCATTGTCACTATCCGGTTCATTTTAACTATAATCATCACGTCTAAATTCGTTTTGATCTTGTAAAGTATCGTTTATTGCAATATTATCTTCAATCTGATCATACAATATATTGTTAACTATTTTACCAACGTCTTCGAGAAAATTCCTGTTATTATCATCATTTCCATCATCGACATCCATTAAATTAATAATTAAATTTCTGTTAACTCAATTATCCTCTAGTTCATCGATAGGTTGATTACGATTATTTTTATTATATTTCAATAAATGATTTAAATAATCATATTAAGTATTTTTAGATAAATCTGTTATTGCTTTTCTAGCCATTATTTTAGTTTGATAAAATTAATATAACTATCTAGACTTATTATAGTGGTCTTAACATATTGATAGTTTTTTTTATTTATAATTGAGGTTATTTAGGAAAGTAATTTAAATACACGTGGCCTGAACGACTTAACAGCTAATATTTCAAATAAGAGTATTTTTCAATCGTAGTTATTTGTCACACGACATAAATAAATTATTTTTGAATTATTTTACTAATTTTACTAATTATATACGCACTGTATAATTGCGGGAAAAACCAACACTTAATGTATCTATTGTGTATAAATATTTTCAATGAGTTTTAATCCCTAGTTTTATAATACTCTTGGTATCCGTCTCTATTTGAAACCTTTCCTTATACCTGGAGAGTGAGTGAGAAGAATAAAATAGTCTGCATTACATAGGTATAGTGTATTGTTGTACATATGCCTTACAAAGCTGCTTAAGCTACTTAAGGATCTATGCTGGCTAGACATTTAATTAATAAATTTTCCCAAAAAACTGTAGATAGAAAAGGTACGTGAGGATATTCATTTTTCTTCCGGTCATTTCTTGTACTTCTTTGCTACTGTACACTTCGGTACAACACAATTTCACGTGCTATTTTAAAATAAAAATTAAATATTAACTTAATAAATTTTTTATCGTTGAATAAATTAATATGACTAATGCAGTAAAAAAAATGAAATTTGCTCTTCTGTGGTGGTTAAGTGAAAAAAATACCAGTATTGTTGACATAAGAAAAATAACGGCAAAATTCCGAAAAGTTGATCAAATCGTAACTTTGAAGTGGGAGGATAAAATTAAAAATACTAAAACATTAGAAAAAGCAAAGATTTTAGCATTGGGTGGTAAGTTTAATAATATTTAATTTAATAAAATATATTTTTAACTATTGTAATTATGTATTGTATATTTGATTGTAATATTTTTAATTTTTGTAGTAAATCGCAATGAACTGGAGGAAATAAATGTAGACTCTGATGGAAAAATCTGCGATAAAAACCAAAAAATATTTCCTCTGTGTATTATAGATGAAAAATACAGAATTAGCAGTAGAAAAAAACACGAGAAAGCGGTGAAAAAAATGAAAGTATAAGCTTTGCAAAAAAAATTGAGCAGGACAAACCGCTTTTTAATATGCCTTCTGTAAGTTTTCATAAAAAACTTTCAAATGCACTGCCATCAACATCATCATCTGACTCCAACGATTTTGTGAAAAGCTATAGCCTTAGTGAATTCATTGATTTATTATCGGCTGATTCAGACGAATCATCTAGTAGTAATGAAAATGAAACGTATCATAAGATTAATGATACGCCTACAACTTTAGCGGAAACTTTTCAAATCACTCAGCTATTTCCAACCGGTAAGAATTTTACAACAATAAATAAATTATTTTGTCATGATTATCTCTTATTTATAAAACATTTGATATTTTTCAGTTACAAAACGATATTTAGAACACTATCGAAATATTTTGAAGCTGATGGAGACAGCATATGAGATCCAAGTCAAAAATGGCTACTGTATGGATGAAATTGATGAGGTAAAAATTAATTTTTTTAGTGTAACATAACAGTATATCTAAAAATATGAAGATTATATTATATAATATTGAAAATTTTGATTTATATAATTTATTGCAGGTCGCAGATGGGCACACAAAACCTAGACATGTTAGAGTGAGTTTGAGCATAAATTTTTTCTTCACAAAATACACTTAAAATTTTTCATTAATTAATTTTTTACGTTGTAGGTAGAAATTATAAAAGGTTCTAATGTTTACATGGATAAGACGACAAAACACTTGATAGAAGCCCTATCAAAGATTTGTAAAGAAAAACCTGATGATGAATGGAGACATATTGTACGATTGGCTCTTTTTGAAATTTATGGAAATTCTATAAAGAATTATTCTAGGACTGGAGTAAAAAGTTCAAAACCTGGGATAAACCCCACTGCTTTAAAAGGGATTTATGGTAAGATATCAATTATATATCTTAATATCTCAATATAAATTGACACGGTCCCGCGTCGTTCTCTATACACGGAGCCCCGCGACCCGTGACACCTTTATCAGCCGCCGCCCTACTACGTGCATATGGTAGTTTGACTGACTAACACCGCGTGCGATACGCCACGGTACAAAGTCCAGCAAGTGCCGCACGTCCATCGACGACCCGCCGCAAATATACGTTAAGTCATCTCCGTGACATCGTATCGTTTTGATCGCTCGCCGTCAACTCTACTATGCCGAACACTCAGTTATGAACTTTTGTACCTTTTGTATATGCTTATGAATATATATTTGTCATCTTTAGTTTTATTGTAATCTGTTTGACATTACGCCTTCCAGGGCAATATACAGTTTTGTTCGAACACCAATAAATATTCCTACATTTTGTTTCGAACCATCAAAGTGTTGCGTTTTCTTTCCTTTCTTCACATTATAACATCCCGCGAGTGCGGCAAAATACCGACCGCAACAAAATCATTAAACTCATTGTTAACTTATTAATATTTATCATTACTCTATATATTTACAGCATGGGCTTATAGTCGAATGCCNGAACCATCAAAGTGTTGCGTTTTCTTTCCTTTCTTCACATTATAACATCCCGCGAGTGCGGCAAAATACCGACCGCAACAAACTCATTGTTAACTTATTAATATTTATCATTACTCTATATATTTACAGCATGGGCTTATAGTCGAATGACTGCTGACCGTACGATTCAATGGAAAAAATACGTTAACTACGTAAATTCGACTAGCGACAATAAATAAAGAGTCACGAAACGAGATAACAACCATTTTAACGTTGGAATCACTGACAAAAATAAAACTAAGAAACGAAAAATTAATAAAACTAATTTAAATGATGCTGCTGAAAAATTATCCTCCACCAATAATGGCCCAATATCTTCGAGTACTCATCAAGAAGAGCAGTCAATTAGTTCAGTTAGCTACAGTCATCCAGCACCCCAGACACTATCAACGGCGAATCATCAAGAACATAATTTACAAAAAACGATTGAGCAGCCACAAAATTATCATTATCAAGGTCATTATGCCCATCATCCGCCCTATTTCTATCAAAACTTTTATCTCCAGAAAAGTTCCTATTCCTCTACACCTTTTATTAATAACCACCAGCCTAATTACCCTCAACAAAACTCCCAAATTCCTAGATACAATACTAAATACTCACATTATTCTCACAATCATAACCAATATCCACAAACGATTCCTCAAAATCCTGTTAATTCTGAGATTCAACCAGCTCATCCCGCCCATTCTTATAATCCGTCTTCTTCAATAATTAACAACAATGATCAATCTGTAATAGGTAATGAGTCAGAAAATAACATTGTAATTCAATCCCTTAAAGTATACATATAATAAATATTTTGTTTCATTGTAAAACTCAAATTAAATTGAATAAAAAGGAAAATTTCTCATATAACATGTATTATTGATATTATTATCATTATTATTTGTGATGTTTTTGAAACGCTAGTGAAATGCTAATTTTCAAGAATAGCGCATCAACAGTATTTCAAAGTCCTCAAGTTTAGGCTATCAATAACGCATCTAATCTGGGCAATCCCGAATAACTGCAATTTGGAAGTGTTATTGATGTGCTAAATACCATTGAGCTAGGTACTTTTAAGACTATCACTAGCGCATCAAACGTCTCAATTTTTGAAAACTTTGGGTTGCTATTGATGTGTTAAATTTCGACTCGGGTATCGATGTGATACGACGTGTATCGATACACGTCCTCGATAACATTTTTATTACCAATATTATTTTAAAGATAATCTCTACTGAGCGCATCCGCAATAAACATTTTTGAACTGGGCAAATATTCTAATTGTATATTATACATAACAATTTTTAAAATCATTCTTTGTAGTCTAGGTGAAACTTTGTTTAAATCTTTTTTTATTATCGACACCAAAGGCTTATGATCCGTCTTTAATAAGATGGGCCTACCATAAATAAAATAATGGAATTTTTCACAGGCAAAGACTATTGCCAGCAACTCTTTTTCTATTTGAGCGTACCTTTTTTGTGTTTCAGATAAACTTTTAGACGCATAAGCTACAACTGAACCCTCTTACAATAAAACTGCTCCTACGCCATCTTTTGATGCATCAATTTGTACTTCGATTAATTTGTTATCATCAAAGTGTGCAAGAATTGGTGAACACGTTAATAATTTTTTAATTTCATTAAATGAGTTTTGTTGTTTATCTGACCATTCCCACTCTATTTTATCTTTTGTTAACTCTCTTAATGGTGCGCTAACCTTGCTAATGTTTGGTACGAATTTAGTGAAATATTTTACTATACCTAGAAATCGTATAACTTGTTTTTATTTTTAGGAATCTCTAGTTTAGAGATTGCATTTAAACGATCAGGATCTATTTTAATACCAGCCTTACTTACAATAAAGCCTAACATTTTTAACTGTGATAGTTTGAACTGTATTTTTTTTTCATTAAGTGTTATACCTGCTTTTATAGCTTTTTCTAAAACCTCTTTAAGTATTTCATCGTGTTTTTTTTTCATTTTCGGCAGCTATATATATGTCATCTATGTATACTTTTACACCTTCTATACCCCTAAACATTTCTGAATTTTTACTTTGACACACTTCAGACAATACTGACAACCCCAACGCACTTCTAATGAATTTATAACTTCTCGCCAGCAACATTTAACAAAATAGCTATTTATACCTCATCTGGTTTTTCATAACTGCCTGATGCTAAGAGGAATATTTCAAATTTTTGGTAAAATCTTCTTTAAATTACCGCCAAAATCCCATCTAAACTTAAATTTTTTGGAATTTTACATTCCATTATTTTTTAAACGATAACACTTTCAAGTTTTTTTTTACAAAAAAAAAAACAATACAATTATTTAAATTACATATATTTTAGCACGTAATTAACCGTTTTAAGACGATTTAATTCACACCTAACACCATGTTGTGGATCCTTTTACTCTTAAATTATAATAAATTAAATACACAAGTTCTTAAAAGAATAACACTTTAATATAAGAACACACAACACCACCCGGTCTCGTCGAATTCCGGTCAGCAATTGATAATAACGAGATTAATATAGAGAATGTACACCACACAAGTTTTGTCATAATTGAAGACAAGCTGCATCGACTGCATTTTTGTTGCAAGAATTCAAAAGACTGTCTTTAAATAGTGTTCAGACAATAGCTCAAAGTGTCTTAGATGTCATTAGTAATTGAAATGGCATATCAATAATGACTTTCAATTGTAACAAAAATAGTCACAAATACGATTTACAAGATTCAGTTACCAGGCAAACAAATGTGTTACTTCTTATCGAAACTTGCATTACGCGTGATAATCCGATTGAAATTCCTAATTTCAATTGTATTGTTCAATTCAAACGAGATACTGTTCTAAAAGGTGGGGTAGCTATTTACCAAAATAATAATAATGTTGAGAGGTGACGACTTGGGCCACGCAACGGATTGTGGAGTCGCCACCCTCATGGCTCCCTTGCAAAAAGGAAATCGGGTCGCCAACCACTTAGGCGAGGGTCTTGATCAGAAAAGAACAACACCCGGACCATAAGTGGATTTAATAAAAAAAATTGAAAAAAGAAAAAAAATAATAAGAAAACCAATAATATGCATTTCGATGAGATAAAGTGAATTAAAAAAAAATTATAGATATATATAAACATATACTAAAAATATAAAGTGTTGTTGTAGACTATAATACGCTGATACCTTGTTAATATATAACCAATATGTTTGTTTGATGTCACCAGTGGTGGACATACTTTAGTATGTCGAAGACCGTTACCTTAAAACTAGAGAAATATGATTTAAAGGAAAAAAAATAAGATACACGTGAATATTGAAGATATTCACGCAATAAAAAGATTTTTGTTGATTAAAAAAAATTAAGGGGACTTTATTAAATTATGACAATTAAGTTAATAGTGGACAAAACCCGAAGGCAAAAACCACTCTGCAAATAAAGGGACAAAAGAAAAAAAAAAAAAAAAAACAATTATTAAGACAAAAAAAATTAACCTACAACTTTTAAATATTACACGTGAAGTGTCTTCCGCATCGGAACAAGTCCGTGTACTCCGGGCGCGGCGGATAATTTTTGTAATCTGGCCGGCCGGACCGTACTTGGGTACTGCGGGAATAATATATATATATATATGTTAAATAAACATGACACACCACTGACCAACAACCTTATAACCAGCAACGCTAAAATTATTTATAGCTCATAAAAAATAATTTTATAAAAGACAAAGAGAAAAGAAAGGCTCAAAACAATATATTAAATAAAATAAAACACTATATACGATACCCAGTCCCGGATGGGACTCATCCTAAGATGGGGATCTCGGCCCCGGAAAATGGCCGACGCCTTGTTAAATTAGTGCATTTTTAAAAAAAGAACGACACTCACGAGAAAAAAAGAAACTATAATTGGCTGCACGCACACAGCAAAACAGACCACAACGGTGGTTCAAAAGGAAGAGAGCTACGAAAAAATTTCTACACACCGGGCGAGACACAACGACGACGAACCCGTTTGGGAGAGGGTATCGGCTTAACGATTTACAAAATATACAACAGATAAAAATATGAACAATATTAGAGTTATACAGGTATGGACAGTGGTGGCCAGTGTATGTGTCATATAGGGAACGATTGTTAAACTGATAAAGAATATTGTGTGTATAGCGTTCACCTTGACAGCAACAGTACAGTTTTCTGATTACACGGCCGGATATAACGTACGCGCGCCCATTAGCAAAGCAAAACAGTAATCTATCAATATCATAAAATTCACATTTTGTCACGTTACAATGTTACTAATATTAAGACTCCGAATATTGAAATAAATATTGTACACGTTAGCGATTTTAATGTTAGGCGCTCATTTGTTGGAGATATTTGTGCGTGCTTATTCAACTTAGAAATGGCCTACACATAGACATGGTAGCAATTTACATTTCTCCGAATCCAAAATTGGACTAGGTAGAGTATTTTAATCATCGCACTTTACTGGAGTACACTGAAGAAGAGTCGAAAATACTTGGTACTTGGTACAAATGGTAATAAATTTTCACTTATCTTGGCTGGCGATTTCAAAATCAATTTCGCTAATAAAAAATCAGAGGTGTTGACTACTTTTCTTTCGGAAAAATTGAATTTGAAAATGAAGAAAATCCACAACAAAATATGGGACCACCATTGACGCGGTATTTTCCAGATATTTAGAGGATATCAAGTCTCAAACTTATGTTTCTTATTTCAGTTACCATAAACCTATAGTTCAATGATAACAATTCCTGAATAACCTACATGTATTGTAAGATTATAAAAATATTTTAAACAATTATAACTTCTCATTTATTCAATAAAAGAAAAAAATTTGTTTTCTTATCGGTCACCAGGCTCAAAAAGTGTAACTTGAATTAATATCAAAGAAAAAAAAATATTGCTTAATATTATAATTGCATAAGTTGATAAAAATGCTATGCAATAGCTTTACCGCGGCAGTCCCCGATCGCCACACGTATTTTTTTTTTTGAGACATTATAGTACTCTTAACTTTGTCCAAAATTTGGTGTTTTATGATATTTGTCATATTTTAGGTATTATGTATGACGCTTTAACTGAATTAGCTGATTTATCTTTATTATTACAAGATAGATGTTTAAGTATATCAAATGCAAATTGATCGAACAATACGAATTTTTGATTCTATGATAGAAAATTGTTGACCTAAGTTTAATGAAGTTAATGATGCATGTACTAAAGCAGAACCATTGTTTAAAAATTTAAAACTATCAAACATCAAATCAATTCCAAAAATAATTTCATCACAGTTTTTTAGAAGCCTTTCAAATAATTTGATAAATCGACTATTCAAAACCCAGGCATCGCATGTGTCATCAGTAAATGATAACCAATATAAAGAAAACTATACACAACTTCTCAATGATCTTGATTATTTAGATATGAAAATTTTGCCAGATGATAGTAATATTTTATATGATGATGAAAATATAAGAAGATTAGCAAAACAATTTCAAGTAGATGAAGTTTCGACTGTGAGAGGCTTTCGCGTATTCATTGATACCAAGAACAATTCCAAAATATTTGATATAAAACCTTTACTTAATTCAGTAAATACAGTAGCGATATCATCATTAAAGTGTGAACGTGTGTTTAGTTGTATGAATAATATTGTTACACCAAAAAGAAATGCATTGTTAACTACAAATTTGTCATCACTATTATATTTATATAATTTAGATATATACATTGTAATGGTCTTCTAGTAAATTTATTTGAACCAGTCCATTATGTTAAATCTTGGATAAGCAAAGGTAATAAGTCAGCTGACGATGTATGTTGTCTAAAGAGAAATGTAAATAATGAAGAACATACCTATCAAAATATGTGGTTACTTTTGAATAAAAGCAATGTTTAACTTTTTTATTTATTAATAATAAATTTATTGACTACATATAATATGCAATTGTGGATACATTGTTTTTTTTTTGCTTGTTTTCCGACTAAATAAAGTAATGAGTAAAAAAATCGCTAGGGACGCAGTTTTCAAATTGTTAGATTGAGCTCCCCTATTTATTTTTTGCCAATTCGAGCACTGAGTATAATATACTGATCAGCCTCTATATACTTTTATTAATTTTAACCATATATTCATATAATTTATATATAACTTAAGTTTAACTTTATATTCATACAATTTTCGAAAAGTTATAGTAATTTAAAGTTGAAAACATTAAATATGAAATCATAAATTTTAAAACTAAAATTGCATGTTTCTTAACTACGGCAATCATTTGCACATAGAAGATAAGTCATCGGGACAAATTTTTTTTTTAACTTATAGTGCATAATATTAGCTTTATTTAACATATGTTTGTAGCTCGGTGTATTTCTGGATCATTTTCAAAACTTAAGTTAAAAAAGTTTATTTTTTGTGCAGAAGTTTCAATTTTAAATCTCCCCTGTGGGCAAATAAATGATCAGTTTTTCAAAAAAATTACATCAAACAAAAGTAAAATGTGGGCAAATAAATGATCAGTTTTTCAAAAAAATTACATCAAACAAAAGTAAAATATCTAAGGTTTCAATATAAAAAGGAATTATTTTAATTTGTTCATTTTTCAAAAAGTAATGGCAGTTTAACTATTAAAATATTTCATGTTAAACAGTAATTTTTACATAGTGATTTTTTTTTTTGAACTTATAGTATTTATCGTAAGCTTTAATACAACATACTGTTGTACGTCGGTAGTACTCCGACGTAGACACAAAAAGTAGTACACAAATTAACTAATGTTTATTGACGACGAGTTCTTCATTTTTAGCACTTCTTGAGTCTTCTCGCACCCAGAGAAAAACATCGATCTATATAATAAATTCATTGTTCAATTTGATAAATATATCATTACTATTGAAACTATGATATATTTATCAATATGATAGTTTTTTTTCTTGTCTTGAACAATAATTATTTATAATTATTTACAATAATTATTTATATGCCTTTTAAGGGCATAAGGGCATATTTGATTTTTCAAATTGGAGCATAAATTTTGGATTTAATAAAATAATAGAGATTTTTTAGCTTCGATGCGAAGCGGAGAAGGTATTAATTTTACTATGATGTGTTTTTTTTTTTTTTT